TCATGTCACCCCTCAGAAGAGGAGGAAGACTGCCCTGACCTGGATAGCCCAGGCAGGCCAGATCTGGGAAGCTACTCAGGGTCAACTCTGGCAAGTACTTGGAAGGGATCAGAGAGTTCTAGGGCCAGGAGGGCCAGAGGCAGGCTATCAAGCCACTTCTCTGAATGTTCTCCGTGCCCCAGTAGGAGTCTCTAGAGGTCACCACAACTCCCAGGCACAGACACACACACACACACACACAAAGCCTCCAAGAAGGGGAGAAGACAGAGAGAGAGCCAATCCCCACTTGTGCCATGGAAGCTCACTGGGTGACCTTGAGCCAGTCACACTCTCTCAGCCTAACCTACCTCCCACGGTGGATGTGAGGATAAAATGGAGGAGAGGAGAACGATGTTAAGATGCCTGGGGTCCCTACTGGGGAGACGGGCAGGGCATAAATGAGGGAAATAAAAATAAAAAATAAAATATGGATCAGAACGGCCAAGTGCCTCCAAAAAGGCAACTAGCTTTCTAACTACAAACAGCTGGAACCAAAAAGCCAAACTTTTTTTTGGGGCTGTCATGGACACCTTTTTCTCCAGCAGGAAACTAGGATCCAGAAAGACTCCCAAGCTCTTAACAGAGTCTTTCAGTGAAGACTGTACACCACCAATGGTAGAAAGAACAATCCAATTCAAACTACTGGCCCTTCTGGCCAGCCTCACCTCCATCTTATCTGGATCAAGCTTCAGTTTGTTCTCCCTCAGCCACCTGACCACCACACTCAGACACTGGAGCAGTAGAGGGCAGAGGCAGCAGCAACCAGTGGCTCATTCAGAGTAATATATAGCTGGATGTCATCAGCAAATCGATGACAGGATGATCTCATTAAGAGGCCTTATGTGGATATTAAATAACATGGGAGCTAACACAGTCTTGTGGCACCCCAATGTCATGTCCCAAAGGGGATGATTCAGCATCTCCAACTGCAACTTTTTGTGAGAGGTTTGACAGAAAAGACCAGAACCATCTCAGCATAGCTCTGCTGCCCACACCCACCTCACCTTCCAGGTACCTCTGCAGTATCACCACATGGTCCACCCTTGTCAAAGGCTGCTGACAACAACAAGACAGGTGTGTTCATTTTGTCCATCTGAAGATGGATAGCATCCACAAGTGCTACCAAATCAGTCTCCGTCCCAAACCCATGTCTAAAGACAGACTGAAAAGGATCAAGGGCAGATGTCTCATCCAAGTATTTCCGGAGTCGCTCTGCAAATACCTGTTCAATAACCTTCCTTTAAAAGTACAGGTCTGTACTTTTAAAAGTCTCAAAATACTTTTAGGATAGTCTTCAGTTTTGTTACTCTACTTGGATAGAAGCATTTTCAAATGCCTCAGCTGTGATTCATTTAGATCAGGAAAAGACCCCACAACAAATGTTCTTGGAACCCACCCCCTGTATTTCCCTCTGTGGATCAAAATATTTGGTGGTATGAAATGACATGGAATAGCATTCACCTACAAGATAGGATGGGTTTTGCTCATACTCAGGATCTTTGCTTATATTTGCTGTTCTTCATACAATAAACTCATTGCCATAATGTGTGCCAAAGAAAAGCAACATAAATAACTTTAAAAGAGAATTAGACAAATTCATAAGAGGACAGGGCTGTCAACAGCTATTAGCCATGACTGCCACAATGCAAACAAGGTATTCATTTATTTACTGTGTAAAAGTAGCCAGCTTAAGACAGTGATACTTTCTCTATTAGATTTAAAACTAAAAACCCCATAATCATAAAAATTTAAGAACCAAATACAGTAAACATCTTTGAATCATTATAAAATTTCACATTCCAACTTGCTGGCAATACAGGTGTTCCATATTCTACCTACAGATGTCAGTTATAAACATTCATGTTCTCTCCCCAGCAAGGCATTCCCAAACTTTGGAGGCAACCACAGAAACGGCCCCGATTTGCTGCTCTAACTTCCTCCCTGACACACCTCTAAACAAGGCCTCCTTTGCTTGCTCTAGGAAAATTACACTCTCTGAGGAACATCAATCCCACGTCTTGAAGTGCTTAAATGGAAAGAGCACATGAAGTCAACTGTGGCATAAGAATGTGCTCCAGCCAGATAGGGTAGGTACGCGAGCAGGCAATCTCAAGTGCAATCTCATAAGAGCATCATGTTAGTTGAACTTCAAGGTTTCAGAAGCAGGGATGGCAACAGACAAACACAATGCCCAGAAAGGAAGAGAAGTTAGCACATCAGGTATGCTCAGGGCATCCTTTATCCCAACAGCAAGACTCCACTGGCGACACAGATATGCCATCAACCAGGAGCAAACCCACCTGCATTATTTAATAGCATCATATCTTTGTCTAATCTAGACTCCACTTCATTGCTTTAAAAGTTATCCACATTAAGATACTGGTGAGAAGATAACATTACTGGATGGCTATCCCCCATTATGCTCTGCTGTTGAGTTTCCAGAAGAGTTTGGCTGGCCACTGCTGGAGACAATGGGGACCTGGACGGACCCATAGCCTGACCCAGCACAGCAATTTTTGAGTTCTTATTTATAACAGATCACAGCATTTTCAGACAAACCATGACTCTGGATTTTGCGGTCCCTTTTAAATGTCTTAGGAAACGGTCAGAAGGCACATGAGAAGGAGAGGGTTCTGTATGGCCCTCTGAGCTTCCTGGAGGAAGGATGGGATAAAAACATGACAGACGATGTAGCAATCTTGCAGGAGCTCAGCAGGTCTGGATCTGGTCAGTGCCTGAACAGCAAACCATCTGGGAGCCTCATATACAATTCTTTCAGTTCCATGGAAGAAAAGTGAGAAATAAGGTAAATTTTGGGTCATTTGCATTAAGTCCATCATTGATCTCAGTGATGTTGTTGTTTCTGTACAACTCTCTGTACTTGTGGCACTTTGTGGTCTGAAGTGTGCAGGCTGATTTGTGGGAATATGGAAGATCCCACCACTTAGCAGAAGTTTGGCAAAGTGATCTTTTGATCCATGGCAGTCTCTTGTTTCTGTGATTCAGTGATTCTTGATTCTGTGATTGACTGTCCCAATAGCATGGCCCCTGGTCCCACTTGGGTCCGTTTTCTGTAAACCATGTTAACTGTATATGGATGCAATGTTCAGATTTAATCCAACATAGCTATTTGGTTTTATACAGGTTTGGGCGCTGAATTAACTACCTGACATTGAATTACACTAGCACTCCATAATATGACACAATTTCAGGACAGTAACTCTCTACAGGTGACCCCTCCACATGTAGACTGAATGAACAGAGTGGGAGAGAGAGCACAAGTGTGCTTGAATTGGCAGTGTTGGGAAAGCAGTGTATTCCCTATTAAAACTGTGCCAGAGGAATCTACTTAGTGCGCCAAGCAATGCTTAATGTGTGCAACTGTGCACATAGGGGCCCCCCCCCCCCCCCAATTTCTTTTTCCATTCCCTAATAATGGGAGTGGAGCACTAAAGCCCCATCACAGAACACTGCAAATTCTTCTCAGGTTTTGCTCTGGGGTTTGTGATGTTACCAAGCACTGATTAAAGCCCCGTTCACTCCCTTAAAAGCTAGAGACTTACTTGAAAATAAAAACAAGAAACTGAGATTCTCCGGATGCTGAAGTATGCATTGAATACAGAATTCTACACTTGCACTGTGCAGTGATAAAATGGCAAAATACGCACTTATACTTGCAAGTCTTAGCAAATCTTTGGCTTATTTATTTCTCTTCAGCTTTATTCTCACTTCAGTGGCTAAGTATGTGGCAGCAGTTTTATGTTAATTTTATGATTCAGTCAGTTTCAGATTCAGAAGCAGCTGAAATTCATTTAGGTAATTAATGGGGCGTGTGGTAAAGGGGGAATGTATTTTGAACCAATCAAATCTCCCATTTTTGATACAAGACATCTTCCACTGTCCACACCCGTTCATCCAATTCAGCTGATGTGTAAATGTTGCCGTCAAACAAAGACATTTGTCTTGCTTTTGGACTGAAAATGTACAGCGTGTGTTTGAAATGATGAATGCATTAGGAAAAGAGTGAACTATTAGGAGGACAATCAAAAAAAGTGTGCAGAGTATTTTTATTCACACCCTTCATAATTGTACCTGTACTACTTGAGCCAGGCAGGTTCCCCTGCTATGGAAAAAAGATCTGTCAGCGCTTGGAAAACATGGCTGGAGCTCAGTAAATTACATCGCCCTGCTTGTCCACTGCTGATTGATGAGCTAACTTAGGGAACAATATCAGTATGTGGAATATCATCTGGATGAGTAGTCAATAATGATTGACCGTGCAGCACTTTGGGCAGTTTAAAAAAGCACAAGACACGCCGCTCTCCCATCTCCTCTTTCTAGAATTATGTTCGCATTTGGCAAAGTATTTTCAAAAAAGTTTCTTCTACCACGATTCCTGTTTCATAAATACCTGACTAGAGAGGGAATTTGCCAAGACCAGAAGAGATATTACAGCTAGCACTGCAGAATCTGAAACCATGTGGTCAGGCCACTAAATAAGCTGCAAAGTGTTGCTGTCCCTTAGTACTTGAAGTGAGAATAAAGCTGAAGATCAATAAAGAATGAGTGAACAAAGCATTTATGGAGCAACTGAGAAAACTGTAAACAAAATCTTTGGGCTGGATCCTTTGCATCATTAGTGGGAGATTTTGGCTGGATGCTTCCTCCCTTCTCCTTCACTCAGCAGCTAAAAAGGTAATGCTGGAGGTTGGGGGAGACACATGCACATGCACACACACACAAACAAACCCACACAAAACAAAGTGCTGCAATGAAGAGGGGGAAGCGAACAAAACTGCTCCTCTGCCTCTTCTGCTGGAGGAATGGATTCATAGGATCCAATCCATAGGCTACATTACTTGTCTCCTGAATTACATGTTTCTGACTAGATGACTTCTGCCTTGTATTTTGAAATGACAGCCCACTTGACTCCCATTATGTCTTGTTCATTATACACTTACCACTGGCTTTTGTTTCAGAGAAGGAAGGACTCTCCTCAAAAGTCAAAATCTGGGGAACGCAGGCAGGGGTGCCCACACTCTGTCCCAAGTAGGAGGTGGGGGGGTAGTAAGTATGCATCCTATACTGGGAACTCATACCATGACGGCTGTCTGGGCTTTTTACCTGTTGAGAGAAACAAAATGGAAAGTCATGTGTAACACAAATCTGAGACAGGCACGCAGAAACGTTTACTGAATCAACAGGAATGACTACCCCCTAGACTGATTTAGTTTATCAAGGAAAGTTCCCAACTGAATTTGTAATTAGAACTGCCTGCTTAAGAATCCTTGTGTTGAAATCCTCAGTTTGCTTCCCAATCTAGTTGTACCAGTAGAAAAGAGTCCATCAGCACCTTAAAGCAGAGGTATCAAACTCATTCGTTATGAGGGCCAGACCTGACATAAATGTCACTTTGTTGGGCCGGGCCGTGTGTGTCATAAAATGTAATGCCAGGTACCGGAGATATAAACTTTATAAAGGACACAAGCAAACCCAATTAACAATATTATTTGTTACTCAAAATACAAACATGCTTAAAACATTAACACATTTACAGGATTTCCTTACAGTATCTCCCTGATCTATCTGCCCACCCCACTTCCACAGCCCCTTACTCTGCCCACCCTCCCACTTCCACCGCCCCTTATTCATTAGCACTAGGATAGGATACAGGGACATAATGCACAGCCTCTGTCATCTGGCAGTAAAGGTAATCAGTTGTTCGTGGACCGGATAAGAGCCCTGGACGGGCCTGTTCTAGCCCATGAGCCATATGTTTGACACCCCGGCCTTAAAGACTGATGAAATTTGTGATAGGGTATGAGCTTTCATGAGCAGTGACTCATGAAAGCTCATACCCTATCAAATTTTTGTCAGTTTTTAAGGTGCTACTGGATTCTTATTCTTTTCTACTGCTAGACCGACTAACATGGCTACCTGTCTTGATCTAGTTGTACAAGTGGAAGTGTTTTATTTTGCCCTAAATGCTTTCAAACTGGAACAATATGACAGTTTTTTGTTTTGAGAGAGTTGAAGGTGGTATACTCAAGGGCCACCATGATATGCACACTTATCCCACTATCATTGTACTTCAAAACTTTGGTGAGATCTTCAAAAGCCTACTCTGACCAGAGATAACTGTGAGACCATTGTCTATATTGCTTGTCTTTCGCATTACACATTTCTCCAGAGATGATATTTGTCCCTTAGTGTGTGGCCATCATGGAGTATACAGCTTTATCATACCACGCTATCTTGTTTCAAGGTGTCCTGTATTCTCATATTAAAGAAATTCAGACCATAATATCAAGATATTTATATAATCCTTACTGCCTACTTTCTGCATTCCTCTAATCCAGTAATGAACCTGGTCCTTACAGCAGCCTCATCAATCATGCAAATGATTTATTCCAGTTTTGGACTGACCCAGCAACTGGAAGCTGTGCCACAGGAAACTGAATTGACGTTGCTTGATCAAAATTTATCTCTATGGTTCATTCATATACCCACATAATATGGTCTAATTTGGACAACCCTTTTCACCTATAATAAAGGCCACAAACAGCAGTCAGGGTTGAGTTACACGTAGTAGGTTTATGGCTGAATGTCCAGATTCAGAAAAGCCAAGGCTTTAATCAAATTTATCCTTTGACCTATATATGCTGGATACTAATTGAAGAACTGTCAGAATGTACAATCCTGTTTGGGATGTTATCAAAGGACAGAATTTCTAATATGGATCCTAAAAGTTCATCTTTCTTTCATATACACAACCTGCCCTATAATGCTACCAACATTATTGGGAACCTCTCTGTACAGTTTAACTTTTAAGCCTGCTACACATGCCATTATCTTTCTTTGCTTTTCTTTCTGGGCACCCCCTAAAATAATCACCAGACAGGGACAATATTATCCTTAGCAGCAATAAAATGGCACCACTATCCACTGGTGCTGAAAGGTTGTCTAGTTTGTTTTCCTTCTCCTGGGGATGTGAGCAGTGACCTGTTTCCTTTCGAGCCTTCTTGTTTTTTCCCCTCCTTCCCTATTATTATTAAAAAAAACCCTACCCTAAAACCCCAGGATTCAATGAATTATTACAACTATTATTATTAGTATGTGGTAGCCGGCTAGCAAGAGACATGTTTTATAATCTTATTACCCGCACCAAGTCTGTGAACCACGGTACGACCGACAGATGGAGGCTAGGCTCCGCAAACAATCTGCGTTGGATTAACCACTGAAGAAAATCTAGAAAGCTTTAGGTTTTGTTTTATTAAACTGCTTAGAATATACACCACAGTAAATCTGAGCCACAAGGTTTCCTTTTTATAGAGCTTAGCTACCCTATTTTATAGTAACAGTAAAGAACCAGCCAAACATAAAAATGCTTGACCTTAGCACTGTATTATAAAGGGGACCTAGAAGATCATTTACCCAATGAGGATGGCGAGAGCTTTGTATTCACTTTCTTCAAACATTGAGAATTCTCACCTTGACCTGATAAGAGGGGATGGGTTAGGGTCAAAAACCACACCATAACCCAGGGCATGAAGAAAAAGGCTAAGAGGAATCTATCAATTATAATCCGCACAGTTTTTATAATGAAAAATTATGCACTGAGGTGAATTTTCCGATATCCCAGCCATCAATAGCAAACTACTTTTGTGATTTTATTGCTCTTTTTTTCTTCTTCATTCTGTACAGTACTGGGTACATTCTGTAAGGCTGTACTGGGCACAAGCAGATCCATGGAAAGCTGAACTTGTGAACCCTGGAGACCCCCATTACCTGTGTATTTCTAAAGCATACGTTAAGAGCTATGCTCCATCTAAGCTGTGGAGTCTTGAGAGCAAAAATTCTATTTTGTGAGCAACTGGCATTAAAGTTGTGAGCAAGCGATTTGGCTACTGCATAAATTGGTTTGTTCTGGAGTCATCCTCCCTGAGTTAAGACAAAAAAAAATTGAGCTGGAGGCTAAAAAACTGTGAGCTAGCTCACACTAACTCAGCTTAGAGGAAACACTGGTTAAGAGTGCAGTACTCCTAGTCATATACATTGTTAGCCTAGCTTCTCAACTTGTCACTGCCCATACAGGGAAAAGGAAATGTGTACATATTCACAACATATCAGCCTCTTACTATATGGGAGGGATCTGACTGCTTCAGGCAACAAAGGAAAGGTAGAAATAGCTGACCTTATACCCGTCCTACAATGACCCGACAGGTCACAAGGTTGCTATGGCTCCTTTGGACTCCAGAAAAAAAATCCCATTGATTCTTTCTCTCTGGTAAATGGAGTTCACAAGACCCTCAAGGCTGGACACAGAAAACAGGTGATACCACTCTCATGAGCGATGCAATAAGCATCTTCTGCCATGGGCTATTTACAGGGCTCATCTAGAGGAAGTGCCCTTGTTTCTAATTATTAAATTAAGTACTACTGTTCAGCACTGTTCAGCACTGACACCTTAGGACTGTTTGGTGTTCTTGAGTTCCAATTCTAAAACCTTCTGAGCACTGTTACCAGTATGGCCAGGGTGGGGTGGGGGGTGGAATCGCCACAGTGATTTACCTACCATTTGATTCCAGAGTGAGCTACACAAGCACTATCTATATCTGTCCCACCTTGATAGACAAACTTAATTAACCTTTGCTATTCTGTTCCAACCTACTGTTTTAGACAAAAGCAGTGACCCACAAACAATATGTTACCATCAAAATCTCAACTGCTGTGACATCAAGAGATATAGCCCTATCAGCAGTATCGGAAAATAAACAGCTTAGATTAGCTTCTCCAAGAAATGTGGATTATATTCATGTCACACTTGAGCTGTCAGAAACATTAGGTTACTTTTAGCATAAATCTGTATTGTGAAGGGTATCTTATAAATGCTGTGCATGAGCTGCTCCTTGCATGGCGACTGGTTTAAGTTGCTGAGAGTCCAACAGTACTTTAAGAATTCCGGACCCTCTGTTTAAGATAATGCAGACTTTTTGTTTGTTTTTGTAAACTAGTTTGTCATCCCCATGCCAAAAAGATTCTGGCTAGCCATTAATCCATAGTCCAACTTTCTGTTGTTTTCTATTTTAGAGACATGTACAATCATATAATGTGCAAGGGATGGCATTCATCTCTATCCTTCCTCTTATTTAATTTGGTTTATGTAGTTATTTCTAGGCTGTTGATTATCATTCCAGTTTCCGTGTTGTTTATCATTCCAGTTTCCCTTCAATTGTATCTTGACTACTGCAACTATAGCATATATTATTCCTACAGTCTACAACAGGGCTGGTAAAATATTCCAGATCCTTTGGAGTATTTAATAACCAGAACCAATGCTCCCTCTAAGCTGTGGAGTCTTGTGAGCAAAAATTCTATTTTGTGAGCAACTGGCATTAAAGTTGTGAGCGAGCGATTTGGCTGCTGCATCAGTTAGTTTGCTCTGGAGCCATCCTTCCTGAGCTAAGACAAAAATGTGTGAGCCAGAGGCTAAAGAACTGTGAGCTATCTCACACTAACTCAGCTTAGAAGGAACACTGACCAGAACTAGTAAAAGCAGAGAGAACAACTATTTAATGCACTTACATTACATTTTGAGGAGGAGCCCGGCAACCATGCACTGGAGGCACAGTTGTGTGTGTATGTATGTATGTGTATGTGTGAGGAGACTTTCCAGCTCTGGACAAGGATGGTTTCTGATGCTATGCCCCCTACTTACCAAACAACACTCTTCATGGGAGCCACAGTAGGTTAGGAGTTTGGGAGTGCTCCTGGATGCTTCCTTAACAATGGAGGCCCAGGTAGCAGCCACTGCCAAATCGGCCTTTTATCACCTTCGGCTGATCAGGCAGCTGGTTCTCTTCCTTGAATGCAATGACTTGGCAACAGTGATCCATGCTATGGTCACCTCGAGACTGGACTACTGTAATGCCCTCTACATGGGGCTGCCCTTGTCTCAAATTCGGAAGCTGCAGCTGGTGCAAAATGCCGCAGCCAGGCTTTTGATGGGACTCCCAATCTGGGAGCACATCCAGCCTGTGCTAAAAGCATTGCACTGGCTGCTGATAGCATACCGGATCTTTTTCAAGGTGCTGGTTCTTACCTTTAAAGCCCTTTATGGCCAG